AAAAGTCCCCCCAAATAGTACCTTGAGCAAAGGACTATATATGTTGTGTGATTTCCATTCAGAAATAATACTTATTGGCTTATATTACATCTGAAATCATGTCATTAATTATTAATTGCTTTGATTAAAGTTTTTGTGGCATTTAGGAGAGTCCCATTAAAATACAAATATTCCTGAGAGAGATAACACTCCAAGCTCATTATCAATGATTTACATCTTTTCAGGGATTATTTCAGGATTCTCTGATGCAACATCAAATCCCTTTCCACCTGTGATGGGAAATCAGTAGATTCAGCCACACGAGGAAGCACAATGTGCAACCACATCTACATTGTGATGTCAGGAGAGTTCGCAGAGACTCTCCCAACATCATTTTGCTACCCAAAATCCACCATCTCATCCCAAATTTCTTCTTTTGAGTTTAAGCCAAAAGGGTCTTTGTACACCATTACATAAATACCTCTGAAAGAGGTCACACATTAAGCGAAAACATCATTTTCAACTCTGAATAAATGCATTTATCAGATTCATCAAGGTGCTGATCTAAGTCCTTTGCTCTTAAATGCTCTGTAATGTCTTCAGTTATCTCATGAAGTCCTAAGACTTCAACCTCAATAGTTATTGAAATCTTCCTAAATTTTTCTACTTTGCTGTTAAATTCTATCCTCAGCTAGACCAGAACATTGAGCTGTCTATTGGACATCTCCGTCTGTCTGTTCCACGAACATCTCACACTCCACATAACCGGAATCAACACGTTATATTCCCTTCAAACTTGCCTCTTCTCATGTGTTATGGGTTCACTTAACCACACAGCAACTCATGTAGAAAACTCAGTCATCTCTCACCCTTCCCTTCCCCACAACCCATCAATGATTATGTCCTAAAGATTCCAGCTCTGTAATATCTCACACCTGTCTCCTTCTTCCCATTAGGGACCACCACTCTAACACAGACCCGCATTTCTGCTCACCTGGACTGCTGAAAGAGCTTCCCAACTCCAGCTTCCACCGCAAGTTACTCTTCCTAAAGCTGAACTTTCATCGTGTCATTCTCCAGTTCAAAAACCTTTAATGCTCTCCATTGCTTATAAATTAAAACCAAATTCATCTTGTTTTTCAATGTTTATTATCATATGGCCTCATCTACCTTCTACTTTCACACACCTTACCCCTCTAGTAAAAGTGGAATACTCACTGTTGTCTAAAGATGCCCTTTGCTTTCCAACCTATGTGCCTCAAATGGTTTCCTCTACTTGAAATGCTTTTCATCCAGTCCCCATTTCCACCCACGGAAGGCCTACCTATCCTTCAGGGTCAATTTCAGATTTTACTTTTAAATAAGCCTTTCTGGCTCGCCCTAGCTGGATGTGATCTGTCCCACCATTGAACTCCCATGGCACCTACCGTGCCCCAAATTACTAAATAGTACCGCGATTTCTATGCTTGTCTTATGCTACTCACTATATTGACAATTCCATAAGTCCAGGAACAGTGTCTTATTCATCTCTACTTCACCTGCAGGGCCTAGCTCAATGCTCATATAGAAAATGCACATAATTATTGAAGTATTTCTTCAATAATTTTGAAGGAGGATGAGAAAGACAATGGAGGAGTTCCTGGCTTCTGGAAGGGTGGTTTTGCCAAGAAGTGTCATTACAGGGTCCTGGAGAGCAACTTTACACACTTTGTAATTTTAAGACTCCAGCTTAGGACAAGCATCTTGGCAATGAATGGAAATCTACGTTGGGGGAAAGGAGGGCTGGTCCAGAGCACCAGCATCCACTTGGATCAAATATTGTATTGAGGACTCTTAGGCAGGGCAGCATGAAACCATTGGGCACCTGGGGATCTTGGGAATGTCTTCAGGTCCTGGAATGCTGCAAAGGCAGATAAGAGCACTTGGCCAGAGAATTCCACAAGAGGCAAACGAGTTGGTGATAAAATGAACTGCCTATTTTCACTATTCTACATACACTAGAGGAGCTACATCCATGCATACACTAGACTAGACTAGAGCAGCTCCAGGAGCCTTGTTTGGGTTTCTGTACATATGTGAGAATCTTAGTCAATTGTCAGTCAATGAACACATATTTATTGAGTGCTTTCTGTGTGCCAGGCACTGTGCTAGGTTCTGGAGATATAGAAGTGAATAAAAAGACAAAAAGTCCCTGCCCTCAGTGACCGTGTTTTCTAGTGGAAGGAGATAAGTGATAAATAGAATAAATAAGTAAAATATAGAGCTTATTAGAAAGTAATAAGTCCTCTGGATAAAAACAAAATAAGATATGGAGATGAAGTATTAGGATTTTAAGAGTTAGAAATATCACCTTGTTAAGAAGGTGATATTTGAGCAAAGACTTGGAAAAAATGAAGCACTGATATGTGCAGTTATCTGGGGTACGAGCATTCCAGGCAAAGGGAATAGCCAGTACAAATGTCCTGAGGTAAGCACAGGCCTGACACATTGAAGCCAGAGTAGCTGGAGACAGAGTCAGGTCAGAGAAGTAAAGGGAGACCTCCAGCCTTTGTAGGCCCTTGTGAGGATGTGGCTTTTACAATGAGCGAAATGGGATCCCTAGGAAAAGTCTTAGCAAAAATTGACATCATTGGCTGTTGAGCCGAGAATGAACTGTAGAAGGGGCCAAAGACTGAATGAGGGAGACCAGTTGGGAGCATATTGCAATATCCCAGGCAAGAGATGATGATGGTGGCTTAGACCAGGGTGGCGGCAGTAGAGGTGATGAGAAGTGATCAGAGTCTAGAAAAATGTTAAAGGTAGAGCCTTAAGGATTTTCTGATGTATTAGATGTAGGGTGTAGAGGAAAAAAAGAGTCAAGGATGACTCCAAAGGTTTTGCATGAGCAACTTAAAAAATAGTGTGGTTTATTAACTGGAATGGAGAATATTAAGGGTGGCATAGTTGGGGCAGCAGAGACCATTAGCGGTTCGATTTGGGATCTGTAAAGCTTATGATGTCAAAGTTCTAAGTGGAGTCTGGAGGTCAGGAGAGAGGTCTGAAGTGGAGATCTAAATTTGAGAGTCATCAGAATATAAATGGTATTTGAAGCCATGAAACTGAATGAGATCCACGAGAGCATGGCTAACAGGAAGAGACAAGGTTCAAGGACTGAGCTTGAGGGCCTCTAACATTCAGAGGTCATAGAGAAGGGGAGGAAGCAGTAAAAGAGACTGAGAAGGAAGAACCAGTAAGGAAAGAGGCAAACCAGGTAAGTATGTAGTCCTGGAAGCAGGAGAAAAGGTGTTTCGAGAAAGAGAGAGTCATCAACTTGGTCAAATGCTGCTTACATGTCAAAGAAGATGAGAACCAAGAATAGACTTTCTGGATTTAGCAACATGGAGGTCTTTGGTGACACTGACACCATAACAGTTTCAATGGAATGATGGGATAAGAAAGTCTAATTGGAGAAGGTTTGAGATGGGAGAAGAGGAATTGAGGAGAGTGAATGTAGACACCTCTTTCTGTTGTAAAAAGGTTGCAGTTTTTTTTAAAGCCAGTAATTCAGACTTTTTATTAATCCAAACGAGCATTGTGTCCTCAGCAATGTGAATAATCAAATTTTACTTGAGAAATTCTCCTTTCAAATGACACCAAGTTTTTGTGAAACGGGTTTCAGCAGTTGTAAGTCTGGCACTCTGTTAACTGGAGAAAAACAATCACTGCCTTCAGTGAATTTGCAGCTCAAGGTATTTTAAGTTTTATCACCTAATTTCTATCTGGGAACTTCATACACACACACATACACACACGCACACATATCCAAAAATGGTGACATCATAGTTCTCAGGTTGAATATTGCAATTCATTATAAATTGCACTCATTCCAAATATTTCATTATTGATTTACAGTTAGTTTTTTTCTTGTGCCATAGCCACCACTTACTCACTTTAATGTTTAAATGATGTTTCTCATTCCGTGGACATTTGACTGCCTTTTCTACTTGTAGACATGGGTTCATGTTGTCAACAGTTGGGCACTGAATCTCAGAAAACATTAAGCTTGAGATTAAAAGTAAGGCAGGGAAAGCTGTCAGTAAAACATGCTAACATAACGTATCTGAACAGGACAGGGTCAAGTTCATACTCAGAACCACAAGGGTGCTGTGAAGTACAATGATTTCATACTGCTGTTGTGATGTCCTTTTGTTGTAACATTATAGCCAAAAGTCCTCACCACCCAAGGGTAATGTCAATTTCCCAGAAGGCTCATTTCTCAGAGCCAAAGCTCCAAAGATGCCAATGTAACTCATGCTGATACTTAGTCTCATGTTATTTCTCAATTTTATGCTTAATTTGCTCCTTTTGGTTTTATGTATTTTGACATAGCCAAGTGTATGTGGGGATTTCCCCAAAGTCCTTTAAACGCTATAAAACTTTAATATAAGGAGATAAAAACAATAATAAGCCATGCCTCCAAGCCCTCCCATCTAGTCCTTTATTTGAGTTAGACACTAACCAGTTTTAAATACTGATTTAGATTTTCAAATACTTGCACTACTTTAAATGCCCTTATGCCTTTCCTTACCCACCTCTTCCACCTAACTGAAAATTATATTCTACCCATAACCTGGGCATGCAACACTCATTGATTGCACAAAATGGAATCTTTACAATTCCTAAATTATCATCATTATGGCCTATATCGTGCATGAGCCAATGCAATTTAATGTGGTTCAGAATAAAACCAAGATGGAGGCCCAATTCCCAATTTTAGACAGGCAACCCAAAATGTCTTTTGGAAAAAATGAAATAATGCTCCTGGAAGTCTGTTGAGTTAGTCTGTTTTCAGCATAATTGCCTTCTCGCAGCTTCCTAATACCCTTAAAACCTCTGAGAGTCTTTAATGTACAAAGTTCAACAAAAATACCTTCAAAGCAGATTAGTTCTAATTATGTTTAATATTTGTTTGCTGCTTTATTGAATAAACTACATTTGCTTAAAAAAAATTCACTTAACTGCATGTCAGTCACCCAAATTTTGTGTACAAATGAAATGGAAAACATTTATTACACAAATTTAATTACAATTCTAAGAAATAAACATGCAAATTAGATAGAGTTCAATTTGCGGATGCTAATCCTCATCCTTGATCTTGTTCCTCTCCTCCCCGATTTTCAGTCTGTGCCTCTCCCTGATTCCTAGGGAGCCAGGCAGCGAGAGGTTTGGTTTTTCACAGTCGGAGGATCACTGTTTTAAAGAAGCGTTATATTTAGCACATCTGGCATAGTAGCAGTAAACAAACATTATAGTCTTTGTAACACTTTTGTGCAGGTGCCTTCTCTCGATTTTATTAGGTCTATGCCTTCCAAGCCTCTGCGTTCATTACACCTGAAATGACCCATCTCGACTAGGGAGGGGTCCCTAGATAGAAGTTATGAATTAATGTTTCAAAAAACAAACTCCAATTGAACCCAATACAGGGGAAAATTACTATTTGTAAAATAATGTGATTCCGGGGCTTAAATTACATTCTCTTGACCAAGAACAACCTCTTTTATTACTTTTTATTTCCTGGAGGTTTTCCCTTGAGGCTCCCCATCCAGAAAGAGTTGCCAACTCAAGTTGCAGCAGGACCAAGGTTGCGTTTTTATACATATGCAGCTCCGGAGGGGAACGGGCGGGGGCGGGCGGCGAGGGGAGAATAACTAACTGCTCGGTCCTGCAAAGACATCTGTTTCTCATCTCCGTTTGCTGTGGCAAAGGAGAAGCAAGTCTCTTGCAAAGGGTGGGAAAGGCACGGATTTTTTTTTTTTTTTAATCATACGCACACACAACAACAACAAAACTAAACCAAATAAAAAAAGAGAAGACATCTCAGAAGGTTGCAGAGTGAATACATTATTTGGCTGGAACCGGGCTCCCAGGGCTAGGGCGGGAGCCCGGGAGCGCGTGGGGTCTGGGCTGCGGGCTGGAGCTGGGCCCGCGTGTCCCCGGGCACCGGGAGGGGAGGGGAGGAGAGCGAAGAGGGAGGGCGGGAAGGAGGCAGGGGGCGGGCTGGGGTGGGGGTGAGGGGAAGGCGCCCCGTGTGCTGCCTGAGGAGTGGCGGCGGCGGCGGGAGCAGAGGGAGGGAGGGAGAGCGGGCGCGCTTGTCATGTTCCCTCTCTCACCCTGGGGGCATCCTGCAGAACCTCTCCTCGGAAATCCACGGGGAAATGGCAAACAGGATTGACGGGTTTCACACGCTCCTCGCTAGACAGAGCCGCTAATTACCATAACCGTCTGCAGCGACGGCGGCGCAGCGCCCCAGTCGCGGCGGCGGGACCTGCCGGGACCCTCGCCCGCCGCGCACCAGCGGTCACCGCCGACCGGGCCGCCGGGCCGGGACCGGCGCGAGTGGGCACCGGCGGCCGGGGTGGCGCCGAGCCCAGAGCGGACAAGCTGCAGCGCGAGCGCTGCGGCCGCCGCCTCCCGGCTGACCCCGCGGTAAGAGCCGGGCTGGGCGCGGGCGGCGGGGGCGGAGGGCCAGGGCGGGCGGAGGGCGAGTGCTGGTCCCCCTGGGCGTCTGCTCGCGCGGACTGGCACCCACGCGGCCTCCTGCGCGCCCTCCTGGCACCGGGCCTGCGCTGGGGTCACCGAGTGGACGCGCACCCGCTGGAGCGGGACCGGGGACGGCGCGAGGGCCAGGGCACAGCTGGGCGCAGAGGCGGCGCGGGCTTTTCCCGGGGATGGCGTGCGCCGCGGCGCCTTTACCCGGGCGGGAACCGCCGCCGCCTCTAGGGCTGCTCCGGCTGCCGCCAGCGCGCACCGAGCCGACTGAAAGGGCGAGAGGGGACAGCAGCTCTGGTGAGACCTCAGGGTCTTCGGTGGCCGCGTATTCCTTTATCCTAGGGGACGGGGGTCAGTAGGAGGGATGCCCTAGGTCTGATTGCTGCGGCGCCTGGCAGGTGGGGAGGGAGGGATTGTGGATGTCAGAAGCGCGCGTTTGCAAGAAAAGGGAATAGCTGCAGGAGCTGACACCTTCTGTCCCCCCCCCCCCGCCACCTCCGCCCCCGCACCCTCCTCCCCGGCAGCCGAGCCGCGCTGCGGGCGGCGGCGGCTCCTCTGTCCTCAGCTCACCTCCCCGGCGGGCTCGGCTGCTGCCCGCCTGGTCCACGCCTCCGCCTCTCTCCTCCCTTCCTCCCCTCCCGCCTCCTCGGCCCTAGCAACTTTCCGGAGTGCCCGGCTGGGGCCGCAGAGGCGGGGGGAGAGGCGACCCGGCGGCTGAGGGTGGCGCGGACAGGGCGGACGCCTGCGGGAAGCACCGGCCGTGTCGTCGCCGCCCGCGTCCGACGGATGCGCAGGGCGCTCCCGCAGCCGCGGGCTCCGAGTGGGTTTGGCCGGCGAGGGAGGGAGGGAGGGCCGGGCAGGCATCTGCTGCGGGCTGGAGCGCGGGGCCGGGGCCAGCCTCGCCAGAGCCCTGCCAACCGCCGTGAGTCATTTCCTTGGAATCCTACCTTTGGTGTTTATTTCCCTTAGAAGGAAACTTGGTTAAAAAAAAAAAGAAGAAGAAGAAAAGAAAGAAAGAATAATAATAGCTCTCATTCTTCAGGAGAGGCGCACGGCTCCGGCACCGTGGAAAGACAACTTGCCTTTGTTCCCAGACACTTGGGGTGTTGTTTACTTTCTCCTGCGGCCGGCGGCCGGCAGGGCTCTGCTCGCTACCCCGGGGAGGGGCTCAGGGGCTGTGGCACCGATCCCCGGGGGTGTGTCTTGTGTGGGAGCAGGGATGAGGTGGCTGCTGCGCGGTTCTCCAAACCTCCCACCCTAGTCTTGGGCCTGGGGTGGGGAGACCTTACGCCGGGGCTCGGACACCGGGCCCCCCCCTCGTCCCCCTCAGGCCCAGCATCCTCATTCCCGGCCCCGGGACCCGACCTAAAGCTCTTGGCCTTTAGGAGCTGCAGCTGAGAAATGTACTTCCCAGCGCAGACAGGTGTGCTGCAGGGCCTGGCAGAAAAGCGACATCTGTCTATTTAGAGGGGTTGAAGGATTTTATTCCGCCCACCCGGCCCCTTCCACTACCACGAGCTGCACAAGCTGTCGAGATTCTGTTAGAGACAATGTCAAGGTCAAGGGCTTGATTCCACCTGGGCAGGACATTTAAGACTGGCAGCGTCAAAGGTGCATTGAAAATATCAGGCCTTTACTACTCTGTTTTTCAGTGTTGGAAGCAGACCTGTAACTGCTATAATGCTCTTAATCAGATGTTCTCTAATTTCCAATGATAGCTGGGGGAGGGGTGGGCAAAGAATGACCAGGGGCCCCTGTGAGATTCCAGGTGCCACTGAATCTGTAGCTACCTTGTTCTGTGTACCAGCCGCTCCTATTAGCATCATAATGGATCCCAGGAAAGAACAAGCCCAACTCATCTGGAAAAGCCAAATTGTATAGAAATGCCTGGTAACTTTACTGTGAACATTTGCTGGAAAAGGTTGACATTTTAGCCCTCAGCCTTCTGGGAATGTTTGAGGTGTCATTCCACTACATCCACTTGGCTGACAAAACAGACAGGCAGGAGCCTGAGGATAAAAAGTTAGGGCATTTTATTTTTTATTATTTAAACCCATGTATAAACAAAACACACTTTAACATTTAACACCCTTCTTTTGAATTCAGTCACCTCTGATGTTAAAAAAAATAAATTTTGCCATAAATGATTTAAACTTCTGAATTCAGTAGCAGAATTATAGTGTAAATCTCATCATACAGAGAATAATGACAGTTTGGATCTGTACATATAATACAAATAAAGAATCCGGTGAAATGTTGGTGCTTAGTGCCACACACTCCAATTCTTCATTTATGTTATTTTTGCCTTCTTAATTTGTTAACATCCCAGTGTAAGTTCTAAATAGACTAGGAAGACTCAATTGCAAAATCTCTTCCCTGCTCCCAAATAATCCTCCCTCATTTATATTTTATTCAGACTTACATAAATCACTTGTGGAACTCAGCCTCTCCAGTTTAGGATTTTGTGTGTAAAAGTTTCCAATTCAAAAAAGAAAAGCCTACTGAAATTAGATATCCTAAAGGAAAGAAGCAGCCAAGATAAAAACGATTATGCCATGTTTCAAGTTCAAATGCATAATGATAGACTTTCATTTGCTGGAAACTATACTAACAAATAGAAACACTGAAATCCTTAACAACCAAAAAAGCTACAACAATAAGTCATTAAAATATAAACAAACTCTTAGTAACATAAAACAGCACAGGGCCCATATAATGTCCTATTAAACAAAGGTAATTGCTTCGAGGGGCCTGCAAATGCTTTACTTTCTTACGGGGCATGGGTTTGTCAACCTGCTTTGGTTTGTGTGTAATAAGATTTCGACAGAGGCAAAAAGCTGGGATCTTATTCCCAGAATCCAGCACAAAAGTGAGTATAAATTTCAAGCTGGAAAATACTGTTGCAGTCAATAAGAGAGAGCTGCTGACTCAGAAAAAGCCATAATTCATATGCTCCTGGCAACTGCACTTCCTGATACAATTGTCTCTTAGGTTAAGAAATTGGACCATTACGTGGGAGTCCTCCAGGGAATAAATTATCATGAGGTTTGATACCCTTGTTTGGATGCCGAGTTTGAGGGGTGTTAGACAGAATGGCTTAGTTTGTTAAATCAGTCATCTAAATTTCTTGGTTGATGATTCAAAGAGCAAAATAAAGGGCATGCCCCACCATTTCTTTTTGGAGAATTAATTGAACCTCTTTTTTTTCCTCCTGTAATAAGGTTTTCTGATGAGTACTTGCTGCTGCCTCTTTGGAGGGCATTTTACAAGAGAAGGGCGAGGTGCTTTAGCAGCCCAAATCAGCTGGCTCTGAACTCCAGCCACTGACCTGGACACCTCCCCTGCCTGTCAGAAGGCCTTGCTTCATTCTTCAGTGAGGCTGGGACAGAATTCAGGGTCTCAGAGAGAAGCCTGGGTGAAGGATGAAGTCATTGCTACCAAGAGCTGCTCTGTTAGCCAGAAGGACATTGTCACTTTAATGAAGCTATTTCCCCTTCCCCTGCTGTTTTTCCTCACTTTTACCTGGAAGTGGACCCTTGTTATAACATGTAGGTAATAATAATCCCCCATGAGACAATAGTAGAGTCAACCTTTCCCCAAAACATTACAAGCTGTGTAATTTGGAGAAGAAAGCAAGAACTAGACCCTTAGTGTGTGTTTGAAAGACAATCAATCTTCAGAAAGCAGGTCTGACATCACTCTTTGTGACAGTTCTTTAAACGGCAAAGTGAGATAGTGGAGGTTTGGGTCTCCTAAAGGAATTGTGGTTAATAAGGCTCCGAGGCTGCCCTGCTGTCACCACTGATCTAAGGCCCAAGGTCTTTTTACTTTAGCATCAGAGCCTCTTCTCCCTTGAACTCACTCTTGACCCTGCCTTGAGCCCTACTTAGGACCAAGTGAAGACACTGAGCCCACATGGAAATGGCCCCCACCACCTGAGTTAGGGAGGAGCCCAGGGTGCATCACGGAGCAGAGAGGCTCCCAGTCTCCCTGCAGGCCCTGGGGAAGAACGTGAACTGGAGAGAAGGGCAGTGGTGTGTTGCCTCTTGGGAAGTTCCTGCCTTGTGTCTGGGCTTTGCAGTGTAGAGTTGTCGGCTGCCTCTGGCCCTGAAGCCCTGGCTCCTGTTTAATATTCTGCCTGCTTGGTTGATGTTGTGCTTGGCTCCTGTGGGACTGCAACTCACGGCTTGAAACTGGAGCCAATTTTCTGTCTTCATCTCTCGGTGTTTTGACTGGAGGCAGATCCAGTTCAGGCCGATCAGGGCTGGTGGAAACAACTACCAAGTGTGTCTGTCTGCTTTGCTTTGGGAGAAGAAAGTGGAGGGAGCCCCAGAATGTTGTAGAGGAACTGGCCCTGCGGAAACGGAAGGTGGATGGGGCGGGGGGGGGGCATCGGAACAGACCGACCCTGAGAGCATCAGTGGGGATTACGGTGGAGATTTCTGCCTCCCCCACCCTTTTCCTTTGATTGATTAGCGGATTTCATCAAAGGAGACTCTCGGGGGATTGACTAGAAAATTGATTTTGCCTTATTAATAGAAAGGAAGCGCAAGGGTTTTGGCCTAGACTCTTAGCGGTACATTTTCTGCGGGGAGGTCAGGAGGAAAATGTGTTTAGGAGGCAAAGCAGCTGTCTTGAAGAGGGCTGAGGGGAATCTGAGAACAATAAGAAATGGGGTTTTAGAGATCCGCCCATGAAATGCAGATTGCTGAACACAGAGGCAGAGCTAATAGCAGCAAGAGAGTTTGCTGAGGTTTCCTTTGAAAAAATAATAAAACGTTTCAGGGTGAAGGGGAGAACCGAGCAATAAAAGTTTCCCAAAGCAAAGGAATGAAGATGCCAAGGCCATCCCCTGGCTTGCTCTTGATTAGGGCTGTTTTCTTTTTTTTTCAGATCTGAGGCTGTCAGAGATGACTCTGGTTCTGTCCATGAATAGATTCTGCGAGCCCATTGTCTCGGAAGGAGCTGCTGAAATTGCTGGGTACCAGACACTATGGGAGGCTGACAGCTACGGAGGCCCGAGTTCCCCGGGGCCAGCGCAGGCTCCTCTGCAGGGAGACCGGGGAGCCAGTCCCCCGCTGGCAGGTATTGCCCTTGACCTTCCGCTGCTGCCCTCTGCGGCCAGACTGGTGGGTGGGGGTGCCCTTCTGAGCCCAGAGAGCTCCTGCTCCAGGGACTTCTGGGGCTGCCTGTGCATCTCGCATAACTGAGCCCAGGGCTCCAGGGAGAGGACCAGAGGTGATATTTAAATTGCATTGAAATCTGACTCCACATGTGCTGCTGCTTTGTATATATCATGTGTCTATATTTTTAAGAAAACCAAGCCAGATTTTGAAACTCTTTTGGATTTTGGTTTTCTACCCTGTAGAACTCTATGGTTCTCTCAGAGCTATACAAGCCCCAGTGGGCTTGACAGTGAAATCTTTATCCCATGAGACGTAAAGGAATCTGCACTTTGGGCCAGCAGCTGTATGTCTCTTCTTTTTATTAAACACACAGTTGGTTTTGGTATTTTAGGAAAAAAATTTCTAAGCCCAGAAAATAGAAATATGTTTTTCCTGATTCTTTATTCTTATATTCTAAGGTGAGTTCCTTTGGAATTTTGTGTAGTACTAGCAATTAAATAAAAAAACTAAAATGTAAAACAGGTATTCATTGAAGTCTGTTTTGCTGAAAAGGATTAAAGGCTGTGGTCTTTAAAAATTAGCCCCTGCTTTTATTCATGGTTGACATGTTACATTTTTGAGAGCAAAAGGATTTTGTTACTCAAAATTTTAATTTACAATTTTAAAAATTTGAATATCATGTTTTGAAAGAAGCAATATTATAACTCCAATGTGCAGATAATGATTTGTTTACTTACCTAGAGCCAAAAATATTTCAAAGTCATTTGGTTATTAGTGCTTACAGTTAAATATGTATACATTTGAACAGTGGTGTTATGTTATCGTGGATTTAATTAAACAATTAGAATAAATACTGATATATCTCAGAGTCGTTACACTCCTCCCTTTTATGAATTTTGCTGTTTGCCTGTGCACAGAATTAAGATTCTAAGTATTTAGTCAATGCTGAAATATGTCATTTTCCTGTATAATTGTCTAGAAATCCTTGCCTGGCCTGGGTCATAGGATTCCGTATGATAGCAACTATTAAGACAAATGTTTATTTTTAATCACCACATGTACAGACAAAAACATAGCCAAGTTATCTTCTAGAAGGAAAGGAAAGGAAAGTATTTTGTTTGGAGAACCTCTAGCAAACCACATGTCATTTGTCATATCTGATTTATTACCACAGGATCACATTACAGGGGAATTTCAAATCCTATAACAACATCCAAGATCACATACTTTAAGAGGAAGTATGTGGAAGAAGAGGATTTTCACCCACCACTCAGCAGCTGTAGCCATAAAGTATGTTTTTTTAATAGTCATTATTTTTATTAAGAGTTTAAGATACTTAGTAACAGTTGCTTGATCCATTTCCAGAAATTAAATTGTTCCACCCAAGCAATGAAAATGAGCCACTTCTCAAGCAGAGCGATATTAATCATTGTCACTTTTTTGGGTCCTGTGTTATTTTTCACAAGTATTTTGAAGAAAGAGAGAGCAAGAGCTCCTCTGCCCAGAAATAACAAAATTATATAATCCATGGAACGTCTTTTTTACTAATGATTTAATTTTTCTCAAGTGGCATTAAGGGTTATGGTGGTTCTGCGCTTTCACATGTGCGGAAATGCACTTCTTCCTCTCTGACACGCTCCCCTTCTCTGAGCTCTAGCTCCCGTGGCTGATGCCACTTCTGTGTGTGCCCACATGGGGGTGGTTACCTAGAGCTTTTCCTGGCTTCTTACCAGTGGACTCACCATCCTTTGAATGTGGGCGTGAAAGTAGAAACATGCACTTCATTGTGCATTCATTGCATATGTTTAGTTCGTTAAAATATATAATTCATTCCCAAGAAAAGACCAAAGCTAACTTTTTTGCATGTATAAGAAGGAAATAATAGGATTGGGAAAGTGTGTAGAAGTGTGAACTGGCCATCTAAGCTTTTGCAATACCAGTTCATTTTCCTTATGGTTATCTTCCTTCAAAAACTATCTGCTGATTTAATCAAGGAGAGTATAACCCGCACCATGGTTGTCTTACATGCAGAGAGTGTTTTTAATTTTTTAATTCATCTTCCTCTCCCCCACCCCCATCCTTTAGATGTGGCTTTGACCCTGCTCATAAAAGGACATTAGCATGTGTTGGCAGGTGCTGGGCTTTCCCCTCCCTGCATGGGTAGTTCCTGCCTTCGGTCAGCCCAGGCTGGTTTAGTTCACAGCTCCTCAGGTTCTGCTACCAGTTGGCTTTTTTAATGACCTGGAAGAGCTGGACCCCAGGACACAGCAGTTCATTCCCGTTTTAGTTTCTGTGTTGTGGTTGTAGCTGTTTTCCAGTTGCTGCTGGATTTGTCCCATCATACAGGGATGGTATCTCATAGCTCAGGAGTGAGTCCTCTCATTCCCTCTCTGCATCTCTTCTCCTGCCTGGGCCCAGAAGGAAGCCTGCTCTGGCCCTTCAACTGACAGGTTCTTGTAGGGTCTGAGCCTCACTGATTATTGTTGTCCCCTGTCAAGCAAGGATAATTGCAAGTATGAAACCCCGAGGGACGGCACTGAAAGCCAGATCTCATGGCTCCTTGATGGCTAGGCCAGGGTTTGAAGTATACGCAATATGACCTGCATCTTGGCATCTTGTTAAGAACATTTATTGATGTGCAGTATATGACTATGTGTGTGTGTGCGTGTGTTTGTATACACACACATATAAGCACAAGTGTCACAAGAGTACAGCTTGATGAATTTCACAAAGTGAACATATCCATGTCACTAGCATCCAGATCAAGAAGCAACATAACCAGCAACCCAGAACCCCTCCTTGTGCCCCCTTTTAGTCACTACCTCTGTGCCCTCCAGAGAAACCGCTCTCCTGACTTCTAACAGTGCAGCGTAATTTTGTGTTTTTCAGCACTGGGCTGTAAAACAGTGAACAACCTGACCTGTCCCTGCTAAGGTCTGCATTGTGGCTGGTGTCCCTGGTGCTTGACCACACCAGTGAGTCAGGAAGGGGGGACAGCATCACTAAATGAACCTGAGGGAAACAGGACCACAACATTCCCAGACCCACAAACTGCCAAGAAAGACATATGCTGTGATGATATTTTTCTTATAGTCCATTTTCTAAGCTTTCTCTTCCTTTTTTGACTTTTAGACCATCTCAATTTTTGAGGAACGAGCCCACATCCTTTACATGTCCTTAGAAAAGCTAAAGTTTATCGATGATCCTGAAGTGTACCTCCGAAGATCTGTCCTTATAAACAATTTGATGAAAAGGATCCATGGGGAAATTATCATGCAGAATAACTGGTGCTTTCCTGCCTGCTCTTTCAATGGCACCTCTGCCCAAGAGTGGTTTATGGCTCAAGACTGCCCTTATCGAAAACGACCGCGGATGGCCAAAGAGGAGTGTGAAAAGTTTCATGCCTGCTGCTTTTACCAAGAATGTGGTGGTCACTACCTGAATTTACCCCTTTCTGTCAATGCTAATGTCGGAAGTGCCTCCACCACTGCCTCCTCTTCCTCCTCCTCCGCTTCCTCCTCATCTTCCTCTTCCTCTCCCCCTCTGCCTTTACCGAGTTGTTCCCATCAGGTGGATTTTGATGTAGGCAGCGCACCTATTTACAAGGGTGATGGCCAGATACCTGCCAATGAAATCTTTGTTACCAATGTCAGGTCACTTGGTGTTCAGGAAAAGGCCAAATTAAATGATGAGAAAGCAAATAATGACACCAACAGGGATGGCGGCCCCCTTAGCCATGAACCTGTGGGAAATGACCTGGCTTTTGAGTGCAAAGGCCAATTTTATGATTATTTTGAGACTGGATATAATGAAAAAAACAATGTGAGTGAGTCTTGGAAAAAGTCCTTAAGGAAAAAGGAGCCTTCACCAAGTAACAAACTGTGCTGCAGCAAAGGGAGTAAAGTATGAGCCATCTTTTCACCGAAACTTTGAAGCATGCACAGCATGATCAATTAGCTCTCATAAATTTTATTTTGAATGGATTTTATAGTTTTGTACAACTGATAAAATTATGCCGTGAACATGCCGTGTCGTTTTAATGCCTGGAGAGCAGATTGCATAAAACATCTGTATAGTCGGCATCAGTGAGCTACTGATCAGTGTGGTGATTTTACCAAGAAAAAAATTGACTTAATGCTTAAAACTACACCTTAGTTTTCTTACAGAAAAGAGCAGTAGATTAGATGGGGGGACAATGGCCCCTTGTGATATTTCCATTACCCCCAAGGAGTCTGTCACTAGCTAAGAAACTTCAACATGTTTGCCAATTAATTAGGTAGTTATTTGGTAAGCAAATCAATATAACCAGCCAAGGATGTCTGCTTTTTCTAGATGATACAGTATTTTTTCTGAACAAAAGACTGAAGACAGGGAGCTAGATGAAATGGCTTCATGGTGCTGTTAAGTATTTGTATTTAACAGTCTTGTGTGACAGATGAAAATAGGATATAACGCAATGAAACACACCTGTCTAGGGGCAGCAATCAACAATATGCGTGGAGGGTGATCCCTGCAAATTCTTGGCTTGCCCGTGATGAGTGGTGAGGCTTTTAGAGAGGTGTTATACAGGGCGATTTTTGGTGCCTTACTTTATCTTAATTTTTGCCAGTGTGAAAATTAAGGATAAATCAGAGTTACAGCAGGGATTTAACAAACAGGAAAAAAAAAAAACACAGGGTGGATCAATATTGTTTGGAAACTGTTAACTTTGAACTGTTATGTTCAACTTTTAATTCGACATCTCTATTCTTCCTTTATTTTTGATGCCCAATTGCTTTTGGATTTGGCATTTTTAGAAAGGGATGGAGGAAACAATAGAGAGAGCTGTTAGAAACCAGCGCTAGCTGCTTGATCTTTTCTATGGCAACGGTCTGTTGCTGGGGTCTGGGTTTTTTGGGTTTTGGGTTGTTTTGTTTTGTTTTCTTGTCCAATGAAGTTCATGAACCAGTGGCATGCTTTATATTTTAATCTGTTTTGCATCATTTCACTCGTTTAGATTATAAAAGCATGTGGTTTTTTATATATGACTTTTGCTGTTGATTAAGAAGCACAATGTTAATAAATGATGTGGTGATCAATAAGGTTTTATCTTAAAGAATGTAAAGATTTGAGTTTTCGGAGAGTTATTTTGGAGAAATGGGACTCAGTGGGCAATCGCTAATATGTATTTGGTCAACGTTTTTCTCAATAATTTCTTTAATTTGCACATTGGCAAGAGTGTTCAGAGGGCCACTCTGACCATCCTTCCTTCTGCTCCAGCCAACTCCTCCTTCTAAACTGTATTCCAATTTCCAAGGTTACTAATTGAGTTGGGCCTCCTTAAACAATGCTTCACAGGAACCAAATGCCAAAAGGAGGAAATAAGTAAGTCCTCCCAGTTTCTCCAAGATAAAGCTTTTTTTATTATTGCTATTAATATTACATATAGGTCTCATTCATACAGTGTATGAGTAGGATCATCATTTGGACAATGTCCACAAGGACGAATTTTTAAAACATGTTCTTGTGTTATGGCTAAATAGTCTAGTAATGTTTTGTCCTTTATTTTCAATATTTGATAAATATTTGATGTTGAAAACTTAGAGAATAGATGCTTGTATATTAATGTGTTGTTGTAATAAAGTGAGGTTTTCTTGATATATATTTATTAAAATGATCAAAATTCATTCATTTTCTTATTTTAATGATTATTGGCTGTTTCTCTTTTGCATTGCTCTTTCTCCTTTAAAAAACTCAAAATGTCTAGAAACTGTGGTGGGCAGTGGCCACACGGGAGTTTTCAAAATGAAAGAGGCCAATAAAATACTTGAAGAGGCCAATCTGACAGGTGTTTCAGAATGGTCCTAGTTTGTAGGTTTAGATTTCTGTGGATTAAGAGCATAATGTTAATAAATGATGTGGTTGGTGATCGGTAAGGTTTTATATTAAAGAATCTAAAAATTTTAGATTTTGCAAAGTTTCTGAAAAAAATAGCATAACATAAAGCCATAAATACTGAATGCTAGTCGATTCCTTTATGAAATGTCAAATTGTTGAGAAGATGACCCGTATGTAAATAGTTAAAACAGCCACAGATTATTGTTAGTAGCGTTCTGCATTAGTGTTATTCTTAGAGGCTAATATTTTATTTGACAAAAAGGGAAAGCTAGTTGGAAGCTAATTAATTTGTTAAATGTAGCATTCTTATTATGAGTGTAATACATCATGGAGATTTAAATGCAAGAGAAAGGACTGATACTTTTGCTTTTTAAAAGCCCCCAGCATTCCCAGATAATGTTTTTCTTGATGGCCAAAGCTGTGTGATGGGGTGGTGATTTTCCACAGCACTCACCTGGGCTACGGCTCATGCATCTGCTCAGTAGAACCCACGAAAGCTTTGAGTGGTGCCTTTGAATCCAGCAGCACTAAAATTCTAGTCATCAAGATTTTGTTTCTAGGATATTTCTTGCGTACTAAAAGAAATCCTTTTTCTCCCCCCCCCCAAAAAAAAATCTCTAGACACCCATCCAAATAACAAAAATTTTTCTGTTGTTGGTATGAGAGCATTGGGACTTCCTATGTCCCTGCAGTGTCATTTCTACCTAGGAGATATTGTTAGATTTTTCCAGAGTGACCAAGGCACCCCTTCATTGTAAGTTAAATCTATTAACTGGGTTCTATAGTTATATCCTCAGAGATTGGAAAAGCTAAGACAGCCTCCACCCTACACTGCTGTCTACCCACCTGGAAATAGCACCTTTTCTTGTTGCTGTGCTTGGCTTTAAGAAAAACCTGATATGGCAGAATCCAGACTTTTACAAGTTAAATGAGGGGAAATCTACACTTAAGAAAATAGCCCAGCTCCCCAAGCTTGCCGTTAATTGCCATTCCCCTAGGCATCTAGGTGCATGTCATTAACCAAGTCATTAACCTTTGCCTCTGGTCTTTCCTTTCTAAAAGTAGGTGATTGTAGAAGATGGTCTGGTAAAGGCACTTAAAAAAAGCAAAGGTATTCTCATCAAGTGCTTCCACTCATAAAATCCTATTAGTCTATGCTTCACCTTGAAAGGACAGGATGGCAGGGCCAAGTACAGGGGAGGAAGGTAGAAAAACTCAAAACCGGTGGAAGTGACCATCTGACAACCAATCAATAATTAGGGTAAGCATCTTTAACATGATCTTTTAAGGCAATAGAAATTTAGAGCATTTCACGTGCTGCTTTGTTAAATAAATGCTGAAGCAACTGAACGAACATTTATTTTTAGAGATCATAGTTAACGCCGTCAAAGCATGGCCACCCACCCCTCCAATCATGAACTTGTATTACAACTCCACTCGATTACTTCCTTTCTGGGTATCAAGAAGAGAGCTGAGAGCACCCTGCAGAAGACATGATGCTAGGAGATGTCAACTCCACAATAAATATCAGACAAGGATATAGGGATTCGTATGTGATGCAGCTAGACTTTCATATTCTTCAAATTGTGAGCAGAAAACATTTTTGAAAATAATTAGCTCAAATCCATTTTTATGACAGCCCCTTAAATTTGAAGTCATTTCCTTCATAGTTAAGGTTATCATCCCTGCCAATTTTGCTAGACCTTTTCAAAAACGGATTCACCGTGGCATTGACAATGATGGTTTAAACTAGACGCAGAACTGTCCCACGAAGAGAAGAATGAAATCAATATTTAAATAATAAAAGAGACAATGTATGGCTTCTAGTACTTCATTTTAAGATTGCTGTGTTTTGATTCTCTGGTTTAAAATAAATGTATTAAGGATCTTTTAAGTTACTACACGATGCCTTCCTTGCTTTCTTAGAGTTATAATGTATAAGTGAGATATATTCTCTTCGCATGGCTAAAAATTCCCCATTTTATGTGATGTAGCTACATGACCTGGGGTTAAACAGTTACTAGTTTAGAGATTGCTTCCAGCCCTATGTACATGCCATATTTTAGCTGGGAGAACTCACTTAGGAAAAGCCCTTCAAAGATGTAAGTTATGAACACTTGAGTCTCGCATCCTGCCATAAAGTGCATCAGCAAGTGAGTTTAATAAAACATGTTGTTTAAAATAGTCTGTAATTTCCTGTTTCTGCATTTCCCCTCAGTATCTGTGACAGGCTGAAGAACGATGACTAAACGAAGGGAATTTACACAAGCTAGTCTGGTGGTGTTTGCAAACCATCGCCATGAGCTTCATCTTCTTTGGTAAACAATTCTCTGGTGGGCTGTGTATGGTTGGTTTTTTTCCCTTGGTGTTGGTCCAATTTGTTAATTTTGAAAATGCAAACTACTTATTCATAGCCTGGAAACACCTGCTTTTGACCACAATGAAACTGATAGAACGTATGGAGATGAATTAGTCATTTCTCTTGTAATTTCCTATGTTTCTCAACCCCATTTTTATAACTGTTCCCTTGATTGAAAATAATAAAATCTTATACAATGCCATATCCTGAGGGCAGAAGACACGTAGAAAAGAACTTGCAGAGAAATAAATTGTGATCTTGCTTCCTGCCAAGATCCCAGGACAATGGGCAAATAACAAATTTGGGGAGAGGAGGAGCCCAACTGCCCTGACTGGCTTGGCCTTCAGCAGACACGGTCTCCATCCAGGTCATTCCACGGGCGCAGCTGAGTCTGGGCATCAGTCATGTGATCCTCCACTTCCCCTTCGACTGGTCAGATCAAACATGAACCTAGCCTGGATACTTTGAGACATGGTGCTTTTTCTGCAGATGCCTTCTGAGGAGATTGCAATGAGCTAAGCTCAGATGTGACATACCCCTTGTATCCTGGCAATCAAGAAGTGAGCAGATCTCTTTGAAATGCACCTGGTGTAGCGCTCAGGCGTCTACACCATCCTCAAAACTCACAAAACTCCTGTGTGCATGATAAGGAAAAGATGGAGAATGACAGGCTACAAGGCAAGGGATTTCAGCAAAAGGTTGCAAGTTGATCTTTGATGTAGTAGAGTGGAAGACGTCTGAGAACTAACAGTGCTCCACATGCATTGCAGAGTGAATTCACTTTCTTTAAGGAAGAGTCTAAAGATTAGAAAGGAAAGTTGACAGATTTTTTTTTTTTTTGGTCAAACTTCTTTATGAAGACAGAAAAAACCATTTCAAGGACTGAAGGGTTTCCTTTACATTTTTGTAGGAAGAGAGAAATGGCTTGTCTGCCCTTTCTGGGAGCTGGGAGGGCTTCTTGTTGTTGTTCTCCAAGTCCTTAGATGCTGTGCTTTTCCATAAATCCACCGAACTGTCTCTGTGACTAGGTATAGGCATTAGCCCAAGGCCCCTCTCTCCTGTTCAATTCAGGCACAGTGGTGGTGGGTTTCTGGTGAGGCTGGAATATAGCAGAGGGTTGAGGGTGTGGGATTTGGAGTCAGTGCCTGGACTCAAATCCCAGCTCTGCCACTGTAGCTGTGTAACCTTGGCCTTGGCCAGAAAACCACTTTACTTCCTGGTGCCTCGATTTCCTTGTCTGTAAAATGGGGTGGCATACTGTACCCACCTCGAGAGGTTGTCAGGATTAAAGGCTTTAGTATTGGGGAAATGTGTCGACCTTGCCTGGGTGCACATTAAGTATGTGCAATAACAGTGAGCCTCTACTGCTTCTCCACTAATGTCCCTGGATGCCCAAAGGCTGGCCCTGATAGTACCAGATCCTCCTTTTTGTGGAAAGTGTTCTGCCTCCTGGGTTCTGTACAGTGAGCTTGAAATTAAATAGGGGGATTGTGTCAAACCTGGGGACCCAGGACACTTAGACAGCTATAAGAGTAGTCATTGGTGTCCCTGAGATATTTTTAATATTCCAAAAAGTTTACTGGAAATCATAAAATTTCAAATTTCCTAAAAGCGGTTGTACCACGCCAGATTTCTTTACCTTTACTTGGAATTAAATCAGGTTAATACAGTTAGCACAGACTGCGAAGAAATTCTAACTGGGAAAATGAAGGCATTATCCTTAATAAATACAATTTATTTCATAGACAGAATCTTTCAGATCATTGGCTATGTAAAGAGAATAAGAGGTGTCCCTTATAAGTGAAAAGACTAAAAACCACTAACCTCTGACTCCTCACCAGGATTTGCCAAAGTTCAAGTTTATTCAATTACTGTATTAAATGATTCTCTCAGATTTATTTTTTACTCAGAAAAAATACAGTATTGATAAATAAATTTGGATAATTTAGACAAAGCGTTATTCCTAGTGTTCCTATATCTGATCATGGAGGCCAATGCAGTATTTTCTGGATAATCATAACTTTGAGGCTGTGGCCTATCATAAAATAACTAGGATACAGTTTTCACCTATAAGATCTAAGTTTTAAAAAGCAGATCAGCTAGGGAGTGTTTATCCCTACTTCAGAATCTCGTTCCTTTCTATGTTACCTTTAAACACAGAGCCCAACTGATGGCTTCAAAATAGGATTTCATTTACAAAATTCCATTTCCATCACTCTCAATTTTTCAAGAATATATATTTGTCCATAAGGTGAGGTACACCTGTAGTGATGCTTGCTGATTAGTGGGTCTGAAATGAGAACAAAACTGAACCAAATGGTTTGAGAATGAGAAATAGGCACCAGAGCCTCATGAAAGAAAATGCAGTGTTGCACCATGGTGATTCCAGGACTTTTCTGTGACAGGTTCTTCTCCTACCTACTGGGCTCT